CAGTATTTGTACTAGCACAAGCAGTTCTTTAGCACAAACAGAGCAAGCTTGACACCGGGACCAGTCTACATAAAACGAGTCACATGACCAACAAAACGGCGCTTACCAGTAAACATCGGGTAACTTTGTAAATCTATCCTCAATTTTTGGAAAATCGTTATAATCATGTGCAGAAAAAGAATTTTAAAAATTGCCTGTGATATACGGAAAACTTAATATATATTTGAGAAAGGGTTTGTGCAATAATCCCTCCTTGTAAACTGATGTGTAGGCTGCCATTTTGTTAATCACGTGATTTTTGATAATCATGTGACCTGACACGTAGCGGTGATTGGCTGCCACTCACGATTTGTCGCCGACCGCTGCATAGAAATAGTGTAAAGACGCGTGAACCGGGTAACGTCATCATCATCGTCGTTACAATAGAACGGTTCAACCGTTTCTATTCCTGCGATCGCAGTCGGCGACCGTATTTTAAGAGAACTCATGTCGAGTTTAGTCACCGATGTTTTTATCGGCGATCTGGCCGGTTTTTGACGTAGGGTACGATCTTCAAATTTTGTCGGCGACTAGGTCGTAAGGGCGACCTGAGTTAGACTTAACACGTCAATTCGCTTAAGTCGTCATGGAAGTCAAAGTCCACATTTTCTCTAATGATAAATCCATATAAATACCCCCGCCAAAGTCGTCATTTACAAGCCGTCATTATGTACAAGTCATCTCCCTCCCATGTAATACAAACAACAGTAAAATCTTATCCGTATATATATATATATATATCCTGTCTGAGTGGGAATGGAGGCAGTTTCTTTGAGAGAAACAAAATCCTCGATGACATCGAGCCACTCAGGATCCTCAAACTGAAGACGTTTGGTGCGTGTTTTCTTCAAGTCGGTGTCCTTGTGAGTCGTGACACTTGTATCTTTTTAAACAGTGTTCTGCTCTGTGTTGACTGTTGGGTCGGTGGGGGAAAATTTATGGGATATAATCTGGATGTAGAGAATCTTTCGATGGCCGTTCTATAAAAAATGAAAGAAAGGTTTTTGTAAATTATCTCTGCAAAGGACTATATTTTATTATTTATTGCCATGAAGAAAAATAATTCAAAAATTTTAAATATTCATAGTTTTTCGTTACCCTTATCTGCACTATAATCTTTTACTTAAAAGCATTCAGATCCACTTGCTTCATTTCTTCACTCTCAGCTAGAATTATTCGATTTTCTGTTCTCTGGTAGCAATGACAGCTCTACTATAATTTTAGCCTAATTTATTGGTCTAGTACTAGTAGTAGTAGTAGTAATTAAGTATAGACTGAAGCTTGGAAATGGGATCTCTGCACGTGTAATTTTGATTCCCAAGCTGTTTTAAAATTATCTGATTCTAAGAGTAAGAAACAGAAACCGAAATGAATCTTACCTAGGCTGTGGCTGTGACAAAGTGGTCAGAACAAACGGTCTATGACACAGGCACTTGGAACGTCTCAATAAAAAAGAAAATAACTAAAAAAAAAAATTAATGGTAAATAAACACGAAAATGTACCAAAGTCTTAATGTTTCGATCTACTCTATTTCGCCTTATAATCACCTGTAAAATGCCGGTCAAATGCTCATCTGCAACACACAAGTACACCGCACGCCCGCCATGTGCACAAACAACATGAATAAGAGAGGCTCATTAAGACTTTGGTACATTTCGTGTTGTATTTACCATTAATTTTTTTATTGAGACGTTCCAATAGTCTTGTGCCTGTGGTCCATGACCCGGCGGACTCTAGTGAAGCTAGCCGTCTTCGTTCTCCTGACTAATTGCTGTTAGCCATCTGTCTCTCCTCTCGGGCCTACGGTATGGTCAAAGAATGAAGCGTTTTTTGTCACTTGAAAGACTGTGATTGCGGCATTCAAACACGCACATAATTCCTTGGCAATATGCGCCTGCTGTGCATTGAGCGGTGCGTTAATTACTACGGTTTGTTTTCTGTCGGCTCGAATCTACATCCGGTCAAATAGTCAAAAGTTTCCGGTTGTCCGCCCCACCTATTGTATACAGCTGTTAACCCTCCCCCCCCCCCCGCACACACGCTATCACGCTATCACGCTATATGGCCGATAGGAAAGTGTATTTACCTATCATATCTCGCGAACTGTATGAGTTACGTTTCTAGAATTCTACATGCATGATGATACATGTCTTAGCAATAATCTCTGTGAGTGTTCGAGTTATTGACGCACGATTAGTCTAATTAATTAGCTGTTATTCACGCGACATCGGCGGTAATGCCCATAGGCTTATACAGGCGCTGCTATGGCCCATCACATGGAGCGAACGAGTTGAGATGCAATTCTAAAAATCTTCATAGGCCTACGTATAAAGACATGGTTTATGATAGAGACTGGTAAGGAACAATAGGAACTTGGCTTTATTCAGTAGATAGATATATGAAATGTTAGAAGCTTGGCTTCAAACAGTAGAGAGTAATATGGGATGGTAGAAAGCTCCTTGGCTTTCAAAACAGTAGAAAGTAATATTGGGGATGGAGGACCTTGGCGCTTCAATCAATAGATTGTGAAATGAAATGGTAGAAGCTTGGCTCAAAGAGTAGACGAGAGTGATATGGTTATGGTAGGCCCTTGGCTTCAATCACTAGAGAGTGATATGTGACGGTAGGACCTTGGCTTCAAACAGTGGAGATGTGATATGGGATGGTAGGACCCCTGGCTTCAATCAGCGTAGATAGTGAATAGGATGATAAAGATCATAGATCCTCTCCTCCTCCCTCCTCCTCTCATCCCCTCCCTATCCTCCTCCTCTCTCTCCCTCGCCCTCCTCTTCACCTCCGCTCTTCTCCCTCTCTCTCCCCTCCTCCACTTCTCCTCCACTCCTCTCCTCCACCTCGGCTCTCCTTCCTCCTCCTCCTCTTCCTCCTTCTCTCCTCCTCCTCCTCTTCCCGCATCCTCCTAACCTCAAGACAGCCCTCCTCCTCCTGTTCTACTCCGTGCCCTGTCTCCTCTGTCCTCACCTTCTCTGCTGCCTCTCCTCTCTCTCTCCTCTCTTCCTCTCTCCTCCTCCCTCTCTCCTCCCTCCTCCTCGCTCCTCCTCCCTCTCTCTCCTACTCCTCCCTCTCCTCCGCCTCCACTCTTCTTCTCTCTTCCTCCTCTCTCTTTCTCCTGGCTCTCCCTCAATGCCTCTAAGCCTCTCTTCCTCTCCACTCATACATCCTCCTCTCTCTGTCCTCCCCCTCCTCCTCCACCTCTCCTCTCTCTCCTTCTCCCTTACCTCCTCTCCTCCTTCCTCCTCGCTCTTCTCCACCTCCTCTCCGTCCGTCCATCCACCCTCTATCACTCTATCTTCGCCTTCCCATCTCCTCCTTGCTAACCTCTCACTCTCACTCCTTCTCCTCTTCCTCATCTCTCCTTCTCCTTCTCTCGTACCCCTCCACACTTCCTTCCTGCTGCGATCATCTTCCTACCTCTACCTCTCCTCCTACTCCTCCTCCTCATCCTCCTACTCCTCTTCCTCCTCCACCTGCATCTACCGCCTCTCCTCCCTTCGTCACACTCCTCCACCTGCTCCTCCACCTCCTCCTCTCGTCCTCCTCTCTCTTCCTCCTCTTCCTCTTTCCTCTCCTACCTCCTCTCCCTCCTCCCTCCTCATCCACCTCTCCTCCTTCCCTCCTTCTCCTTCCGGCTATCCTCCTCATCCTCCTCTTCCTGTTCCTCTCCTCCTTCATTCCTCTACCTACTCTTCCTCTCCTCCTCCTCTCTTTCTCCTCTCTCTCCTCTCTTCCTCCTCCTCCTCCCTGCCTCCTCTCCTCATTTCTCCTTCTTCTCCTCCCCCTCATTCTCCTCCTCCTCCTCATTCTCCTCCTCCTCCATATCTCCTCCTTCTATCCTCATCTCCCCCTACCTCTCCTCTCCATCCTTCCTCCTCCCTCCTCATTCACTCTCCTCCTACATAATTTCGACAACTTGTGAAGCCACTTAAGATTAACCGATATGACATGTAATATTTCCTCACAAAGGAAGTGTGTGTTCTGAAACTATGTTTATATATATATATCATATATATAATTTAACATGGTTAGAGCCACTTACGTTACTGTACGTTCCTCTAAGAAAGTGTGTGCAATACTGTTCCTCACAAGGAGATACGTGTGTTCTCAACATATGTTATAATATTATTTATTTCAACATTAGAGCCACTTCGATTACTGTAGTTCCATTTAAGAAAGTGTGTGCGAATACGGGTTACCTCACAAGGAGGCAGTTTAGGGTTCATCAGACTATGTTTAATATATATAATATCTTCAACATGTAAGAGCACTTACGATTACTGTTACGTTTACTCTTAAGAAAAGTGTTGCTGCAATACTGTTCTCACAAAGGCAGTGTGAAAATTGTGATTCTCAACTAGTATACTAATGTTTAATTTATAATATTTAATGTAGAGCCACTTACGTTACTGTACGTTCCTCTCTAAGGAAGTGTGTCAATACTTTCTCACAGGAGGTGGTGTTCCAGGACTGTATGTTAATTATAATATTTCAACATGTAGAGCCACTTACGATACTGTACGTTCCTCTTAAGGAAGTGCTTGTGTGCAATAGTGTTCCTCTCAAGGAAGTGTGTGCTCTCAAACTATGTATAATATTATACTATTTCAACATCTAGAGCCACTTACGTTACTGTATGCAGTAACGTTCCTCTCAAGGAAGTGTTATAAAATAGGTAGTAGCCTGTTTATCTGAGAGAATAAGGTAGAAATTACTCATTTCCAGTATTTTGTTATATGATGTCCGAAATATGCAAAATATCCCGCTGTTTCAGTACAATAATATTCGAATTTATTGCCTATAGTTTAGTCCCTACACGTTACAGAGCAGATGTATAGATTTATATGATTTTATCATGAGATTTTGATCATAGATCGAGTATTTATACGGTATAGTACTATAGTATACTATGTTCATCTCTCGAAGATACATGGAATTATGTCTAATATGCTATGACATATGGTGGTCAAAAATTCCAAACACGTCCCCGCTGTTTCGATACGTACGGAGCTCGGGAAGGGACATGGGAAAATCTTTTTTTTCTCGTTCCCACGAGATATCATCTTGTTCCCTCGAGATACTATCTCGTTCTCACGAGATATTATATCGTTCCCTCGAGATAATTATCTCGTTCCCATGAGATATTATCTCGTTCCCTTGTGATAATTATCTCGTTTCCTAGAGATGTTATCTCGTTCCCATAAGATAACAACAATTAATGCGTCTCATTGCCACGCGAAAAGGTTAAAATGGCTTCCGTTAGTGACCGAAATTTCTTAATAAAAATGTAACTTTAAGTTACAACTATAGTTTAGGTTTACTATTTGACCAATTTTCCGGTGACCAATTTTCCTACACCTATCGAATAGCAGGTGTGTTTCTGTTTTGTCCTCATGGAGGGTACATTTAATTTTGATAGGGAATAATAATGATTATATCATATCAACAAATGCTGTGGAATGTGGACACTCAATAAACACTATATCTGTTGAGTTTCCTGGAGCATTTCAGTGTATACAAAAAACGTTTGATGATGTTTACGTGGCATATATTTAGGATCAACACAATTGTTAGCTCCAAGAAACGGTCATACATCTAAGGACCGTGTGTATATTGAGATTAATCGCACAGCCTCGTCGGGCTACTTAATTGTATGAATATGTCAACTTTATATGTCAAACTAGAAAAATATTGACATGACATTTGATTTCAGAAGCATGAGCAGACGTCAGAAACCAGAAAAAGTGGCAAAATTATTCATTACTAAGGATGAAGATCCCCCAGGACTGGCCAGGCACTTTATTAGTGAGAAAATAGGTATGCCTGCATGCCACTAATAATATATAAATGCAGGTCAAATTCAAGGACACAATGCATACATCACGCTCAAGTTCACGGTCAAGATAAAGCTAAGGCTTTTTAATCAAAAATCGGATTGCGTGAATTTTCTTAGAAGCCACATAGGTGATCTTGATTATTTCATCACGTCAGGCAATCATTTATTATAATCAGCTTTATATAACATATACGACATAGTTTTCTTTTTTTTATACAAATTAGGTTTATTGTATTTATAGTGATATTGAAACAAATCTTAATAGCTTGACAGGTAGAATCATAAAAATACACGTATATTCAATAGATCAGTATAATTATTCGCATTTAAACACTCAAGGTTTACGTCAAAATAGGACTGTTATTGGAAGCAATGTATTGATTTTTAGTTATTTTTGGCATGCTTGTATATGTATACCTCGTAATCTTTCACTGAATTTGGTATAGATTCTTGTAGTAGTAATTAGGTAGAGTTTTGGGAACGAAGTTTTGCAACATCTAATAATAGCGAAACTGTGCTTAATTTCACATCGTATGCATGGCCATGCCAGTTTGATTAATAATGGAGATTGCACATGTGTCAGTTTGTTTGTAGAGTAGTACATTCAAGTTATATAACATCAGATCAGAATCATATTTACTGTTGTTGCTGGATATATCACGTGTTCATAAATGATCTTTTATTCTTTATAAAGGTTATGGAGTGTTTGCAGAGAAGAAAGTTATGAGATCGGATTTTCTGTTGGAGTACCATGGTGAGATAATAACTGAGGAAGAAGCAACTACAAGAGAAAAACTATACATAGAACAAAACAAAGGAAGTTTCTTGTACTTTTTTAGATTTGGGAAACAAGATCTATGGTAGGAACATTTTGCTAAATGTAACTTACGCAGATAAGGTCTATGTCTCCCTGACCTCTGTTTGACCGGGCTCGTTTAGCTATTTCTGACTAATATATATATATATATATATATAATATATAGGGTTAGGGTTGGGGTTAGGGTTAGGGTTAGGGTTAGGGTTAGTCAGAAATAGCTAAACGAGCCAGGTCAAACAGAAGTCAGGGGTCATAGACCCTACGAGCGTAACTTACAGCTTATATTTGCATGTTATGTTATTGCAAAGAGGAAACCACTCCTATGTAAACTACATACAACTACATACAAGAATATAAAATAAATACAAATTACTATCATACTAATTATTCTAGGGAATGTAAGAACTTACTATGCTCCCCTTCCCAGCCAGCAACAGGTGTTAATTTCCATGTAAATGTTATTGAATAAAGGTAATGAATGCAGCCACTTCTTACAGAGATTGGCTGCTGTTGAATGTATGCCATTTCTTACTTTACAGCGTTGATGCTACTCACGATGACGGTCGTCTTTGTCGGCTTGTTAATGATGGTGTTGGGACAGATATAAACTGCAGCATGAAAGTGTTGAATGTGACTGGACAGCCAAAGCTATGCTTGTTTGCATGTTGTGATATACCAATAGGACAAGAGTTAAGATATGATTACAATGACCCTAATCTTCCATGGAGGTCCATGAAGAAAAAGTGGAAAAAAAACTACATTTCTATGATGTTCATAGATATGTTTCATTAATTGAACTGTTTTTTATTTAACAAAAGAATTGATAAATTTTTTCATGTACTAAAGATCAGCATGCTATCTAGTAGAAATTATGCTACTATCTAGCATCTGTAAACATAATAAATGATACATTCTCTCAAATACAGTGCTAGCAGAAGGTATCATTTTAATCTATTCGTCGAGATGTCATGAGTGCATCTATGTTTGTGTTGGTTGTGGTATGGCTAGTTGATTATGATCGGTATGCGATTTTAACGCACACTTAAAGTACGGGGGTGGCCAAATAAGACGATGCAGCAGGTAAAATTTGGGCCAGGTGTTGAGGAGATCAATTAATGTTGTTATTTGTCATTCATTATATCATACGCAAGGGAAATACTTACACTTTTGATAAGTGTAAATTAATTTCTGTAGTGTGTACATAATACACTTCTGTTAAAAGGACATTATCTAGCATTTATGTGCTCTCGGGCACTCTCAGATTGGCCCAGAACCCCGCTTACCGATGATTGACAAGGTCTGTGCGGGCCATTTTTAACCGGCAGCTTATAGTAGGTGTTGTTATAATTAGCAACATTTTGCAAGTATGCATGCACACACGGATCAATAGTTTTTGCATGGTTACCCTGGAAATTACATGTACTTGCAGCTGTAAATGTCAGCCTCTTCAGTTACTTTGACATCAGTGAAAGTGTGTAATTAAGAAAAAATGTGATTAAAAAAGCTTTATGGTCATTTCACCGTCATTAGTTATTTTATATTGTTTGAATAAACTTATGGTTATTCTCAATTGATGATAGTGATTTTAATTGCCGGCATCTGTATTATAAATAATGTATGTTCTTTAACCCTATTTCAGTCCTCTACCTATGTGTCACGGTGTGAGCTACCTTGCGCCCAGCCTTCAAAATTGATGTGTAACAAGGTATCCGGATCACGGAATTCTACAGGTAACTGCCACAGTAAGTCAGCTGCACATATGTTTCATTTTGATGTAGAGTCAGCTAACCCCATACTTCTACTAGACATACAGCCATGCGGTGCTTCCTGTTACAGTGAACCAGCCATTTCCTTGCCACAACATGATGTGGAACCAGCCACACCCTTGTCACACCATGATGTGGAATCAGCCTCTTCCTTGCCACACCATGATGTGGAATTAGCCTCTTCCTTGCCACACCATGATGTGGAATTAGCCTCTTCCTTGTCACACCATGATGTGGAATCAGCCACTTCCTTGTCACACGATGATGTGGAACCAGCTACTTCCTGTGTCACCATGATGTGGAACCAGCACTTCCTTGTCACACCATGATGTAGAACCAGCCATGCCCTTGTCACACGATGATGTGGAACCAGCCACTTCCTTGTCACACGGTGATGTGGAATCAGCCACTTCCTTGTCATACTATGATGTGGAACCAGCTTCGTCCCTTGTCACACATGATGTGGAATCAGCCACTTCCTTGTCACAGCGATGATGTGAACCAGCCTCTTCCTTGCCACACCCTAATGCCGGAACCAGCCACGTGTTTCTCACTCGATGATGTGGAATCAGACCACTTTCTTGTCGTACTATGATGTGGAACCAGCCTCTTCCCTTGCCACGACCCTAATGCGGAACCAGCCACGTGTTTTTCACACGATGGTGGTGGAACCAGCTACTTCATTGCCACAGCCGAATGTGGAAGCCAGCTACTTCCTTGTCACACCCATGATGCTGGAACCAGCCACTTCCTTGTGCGACACCATGATGACGTGGAACCAGCCACTTCCTTGTCACACGATGATGTGAAACCAGCCACTTCCTTGTCACACCATGATGTGGAACAGCTCTCTTCCGGTCACACGATGATGTGGAATCAGCCACTTCCTTGTCGTACTATGATGTTGAACGCAGCCGTGTCCCTTGTCACACCATGAATTGTGGCAAGCCAGCCACGGTTTTCTCACAGCCATAAATGCGGAATCAGCCACTTCCTTGTCACACCGATGATAGTTGGAACCAGCATCTCGCTTGCACACTCCTAATGCGGAGCCAGGCCACGTGTTTCACTCGTTATGATGTGGAATCAGCCAGCTTTCTTGTCGTACATATGATGTCGGAAACCAGCCCTCTTCCTGCCAGCACCCTATGCCGGAACCAGCACGTGTTTCTCACACGATGAATGTGGAATCAGCCACTTATGTTGCCTGCTATGATGCATGGAACCAGCCTGGGTCCTTGTCCTATCACTGATTGTGGAACCAGCCCTTCCTTGGGCACACCCCCATGGCTAGGCAGAACCAGCCAGCTTCCTTGTCAACACGCATGATGGGACGCCAGCCTTTTCCTTGTCTGCTATGTCGAAGATGGCACGTCCGTGTGCATAGATGATGTGGAGCAGGCCACGCTCTTGTCTATACCATGATGTTGAACAGGCCGTTTCTGTGCCAGACCATGATAGGAGCCAGCCACGTCCTCACCGCCATGATGTGGCCAAGTCACCATTCCATATCATTGCGGCAATCGAACAGTCAAGCACGTCCTGGCTCTCACGATGGTTTAGACCCCTTCGTGTGTCAACATCTGACTATGCCTGCGTTGAACAAGCCTTGA